GGAAAATGCTGCTCTAATCATATTTTAAGTCCCCATATGCCTGTGCACAGTAAATTCTCTATACATTAAAAAAAACGTGCTGGGTTGTAGATTCTGAGCAACTTTAAGACTGCCACCAAGTCCCAATGGAATATATGAATTGACCCTCCCACCATTCTTGCATGTGTATTTAGAGAATTCCAATGCTGCCAGTCGTGTGGAATGATGTATTTCTACCTATCTAGTTTGTGTGAAATGAGATCACTTTGTGATTTTTTTTTTTTTTTTTTTGAGACAGCGTCTTGCTCTGTCACCCAGGCTGGAGTGCAGTGACGTGATCTCGGCTCACTGCAATCTCTGCCATTTGAATTACCACAGAAATGAATGTTCCTTTGTTTGTATCTTTGGAAGCATTTGGTGCTATATTTTGGAGTTTAGCCATTCTGAGGTGTGTAAATGTTATAGGAATAATGAACAAAAACAGTTTCGCTTGCTGAAAAACAAGATGAGACCTTCCCTAACATACCTCAAATATTTTAAACTATAGAGAGGGAGCAGAGCTAGATGGCGGAATAGAAAGCTCCCCTGATCATCCCCCTGCAAGGACACCAAATTAACAACTATCACACAGAAAAAAACACCTTCATAAGAACCACAAATCAGGTAAGCACTTACAGTACCTGGTTTTAACTTCATATCGCTGAAAGAGGCACTGAAGCGGTTTAAAAACAGTCCTGAATCGCCAACAGACCCCTCTCCCACCCCAGCAGCAGCGGCATCATGCACACAGCATCTCTAGGTGCTGTGGGAGGGAGATACAGCAATTGTGAGGCACTGAACTCAGTGCTGTCCTGTTACAGCAGAAAGGAAAACCAGACCAAATTCAGCTGATACCTGCCCATGGAGGGGACATTTAAACCAGCCTTAGCCAGGGAGGAATTGCTGATCCCAGTGGTCTGAACTTAAGTGCCCGCAAACCTCATCACTGAGGGCTGCAGCACTCTCTCTCTCCAAGTCAAGTTGAAAGGCAGTCTAGCCCATAAGGACTGCAACTCTTAGGTGAGTCCTAGTGCTGAATTAGGCCCAGAGACAGTGAACTGACAGGGGGCAGGGAGGGGTGGTGACATATGGCATCATCCTTCCCTTAACCCCAGGCTGCACGGCTCTCAGCTCCCAAAGAGACCCCTTCCACTTGAGGGAGGAGACAGTATCGGGGGGACTGTGTCTTCCATCTCAGATACCAGTCCAGCCACAGTAGGACAGGGCACTGGTCAGAATCAGGAGGCCCCTGTTCCAGGGCCTAGCTCCCAGACATTTCTAGACACACCTTGGGCCAGAAGGGAACCTGCTGCCTTGAAGGGAAGGGCCCAGTCCTGCCAGCATTCATCACCTGTTAATTGAAGAGCCCTTGGACCCTGAATAACCAGCAGTGATATCCAGGTACTACATCAAGGGCCTTTGGTGAGCCTGACACTTGCTGGCTTCAGGTGAGACTCAGCACATAACCAGTTGTGGTGGCTACAGAGAAAAACTCCTTCCGCTTGAGAAAAGCAGAGGGAAAAGTAAGGGGACCTTGTCTTGCACCTTAGGCACCAGAATGGCCACAGAGGGACACAGCACCAAGCAGGCTCTTGGGGCCCCTGATTCTAGAACTTGACTCTTCGATAGCATTTCTGGACCTGTCCTGGGCTAGAGGGGAGCCCACTGCCCTGAAGAGGCAGCATTCATGACAAGCTAACTTAAGAGACCTTTGGCCCTCCAGGAACATCAGCAGTAGCAGTACTTCGACAGAACTCCTTGTGGCTTGGGGCGGTGGCTACGGGGTGAGGCTCCTCTGTCTTTCCAGGGAAGAACTTGTATAGTTTGAGTGCCAGCTCAGCCAAGCTGCAACACAACAGGACACAAGGTAGACTTCTAAGGTGTTTTTACTCTAATCCCTGACTACTGGACAGCACTTCTGAACTCACCTGGGCCTTGGGGGACCTCGTCACCCTGAAAGGAAGGACACAGGCCTGGCTGGTTTTGCCATCTGCTGATTTTAGACCCCAGGGGCCTTGAGTGAACACAGGCAGTAGCCAGGGAGTGGTTACAGCAGGCCTTGGGCGAGACACAGCACTGGCTTCAGGTCTGACCCAGTGTAGTCACAGTGGTGGTGGCCACAGGGATGCTAGTGTCATTCCACCCTCAACCTTGGGTGGCTCAGAACAGACACAGAGAGAGAAACTATGTTTGGGAGAACATAAGGAAAGAGAACAAGAGTCTGCCTAGTAATCCAGAGAATTCTCCCAGATTTTGTCTAAGATCATCAAGGCAGCACCTCTATGAGTCTGCAAGAACCACAGCATACTGGGTTTGGGGTGCCCCCTAAAGCAGATATAACTTAGATATCTGGAAAGTCTTCCCTAAGAAGGACAGCTACAAATAAGCCCAGACAGTGAAGACTACAATAAATACCTAACCCTTCAATGCCCAGACACCAAAGAACATCTCCTAACATTAACACCATCCAGGAAAACATAACCTCACCAGATGAACTAAATGAGGCACCACGGACCAATCCTGGAGAAACAGATATGTGACTTTTCAGACAGAATTCAAAATAGCTGTGCTGAAGAAACTTAAAGAAATTCAAGATAGCACAGAAAAGGAATTCAGAATTCTATCAGATAAATTTAACATAGAGATTGAAATAATTAAAAATTGAGCAGAAATTCTGGAGCTGAAAAATGCAACTGGCTTACTAAAGATTGTATCAGACTCCTTTAATAGTAGAATTGATCAAACAAGAAAGAATTAGCTTGAAGACAGGTTATTTGGAAATATACAGTCAGGAGACAAAAGAAAAAAGAGAAAGAAACAAGCACACCTACAGGATCTAGAAGATAACCTCAAAAGGACAAATCTAAGAGTTAATTGAAGAAGAAGTAGAAAAAAGGTTGTAGAAAGTTTATTCCAAGTGATAACAGAGAACTTCCCAAACAAGAGCTATATATCAGTATCCAAGTACAAGAAGGTTATAGACCACCAAGCAGATTTAACCCAAAGAAGACTACCTCAAGGCATTTCATAATCAAACTCCCACAGTTCAAGGATAAAGAAAGGATCCTAAAAAGCAGAAAGAGAAAAGAAATAACACACAATGGAGCTCCAATACATCTGGCAGCAGACTTTTCAGTGGAAACTTTACAGGCCAGGAGAGAGTGGCAATACATATTTAAAGTGCTGAAGGAAGTAACTTTTACTCTAGAATAGTATATCTCGTGAAAATATCCTTCAAGCCTGAAGGAGAAATAAAGACTTTCCCAGAAAAACAAAAGCTGAGGAATTTCATCAATACCAGACCAATCCTACAAGAAATGCTAAAGAGAGCACTTCAATCAGAAAGAAAAGGACATTAATGAGCAATAAATAATCACCTGAAGATTCAAAACTCACTAATAATAGTAAACAGGAAAATACAGAATATTGCTATGTAAACTACTCTTTTTTTTTTTTTTTTTTTTTTTTTTTTTTTTAGATGGAGTCTCGCTCTGTTGAAAGGATGGAGTGCAGTGGCGTGATCTTGGCTCACTGCAACCTCCAACTTCCTGGTTTAAATGATTCTCCTGCCTCAGCCTCCCAAGTAGCTGGGGTTACAGGCACACACCACCATGCCCAGAAAATTTTTGTATATTTAGTAGAAATGGGGTTTCTCCATGTTGGCCAGGATAGTATCGATCTCCTGATCTCGTGATCCACCCACCTCGGCCTCCCAAAGTGCCAGGATTACAGGCATGAGCCACTGCGTCCGGCCTGTAAACTACTCCTATCCTAAGTAGAAAGACTTAAACAGTGAACCACTTAAAAATAATAAACATAATTTTTCAAGGCATAGTACAATAAGATATAAATAGAAACAACTAAAAGTTAAAAAGGGGGTGAACAGACCAGGTGTGGCGGCTCACACCTGTAATCCCAGCACCTTTGGGAGGCTGGGGTAGGCGAATCACCTGAGGTTGAGTTTAAGACCAGCCTGGCCAACATGGTGAAACCCTGTCTCTACTTAAAAATACAAAAAACTTAGCTGGTCAGGCACAGTGGCTCACGCCTGTAATCCCAGGACTTTGGGAGGCCGAGGTGGGCGGATCATGAGGTCAGGAAATCGAGACCATCCTGGCCAAGATGGCGAAACCCCGTCTCTACTAAAAATACAAAAAAATTAGCTGGGCATGGTGGTGGGTGCCTGTAGTCCCAGCTACTTGGGAGGCTGAGGCAGGAGAACTGCTTGAACCTGGGAGGCAGAGGTTGCAGTGAGCTGAGATCACACCACCGCACTCCAGCCTGACTGACAGAGCAAGACTCTGTCTCAAAAAATAAGAAAAATAAAGGCTGGGTGCAGTGGCTCACACCTGTAATCCCAGCACTTTGGGAGGCCGAGGCAGATCACGAGGTCAGAAAATTGAGACCATCCTGGCTAACATAGTGAAACCCCATCTCTACTAAAAATACAAAAAACTAGCTGGGCGTGGTGGCACACGCCTGTAGTCCCAGCTACTCAGGAAGCTGAGTCTGGAGAATTGCTTGAACCGGGAAGGCAGAGGTTGCAGTGAGCCGAGATCGCGCCACTGCACTCCAAGCTGGGCAACAGAGCGAGACTCCGCCTCAAAAAATAATAATAAAAATAAAGAGGCCGGGCGCGGTGGCTCAAGCCTGTAATCCCAGCACTTTGGGAGGCCGAGACGGGCGGATCACGAGGTCAGGAGATCGAGAC